TAATGCTAAACTTAACTGGATCCCTAAGAATGAACAGATACTGTTAAGCTCTTCTATGATAAAAACAGACAGCTCCTGTGCGTGATGGAAGGGTGTTCCCAGCACAGAACAAAAAACTTCCCAGAAAGAAAGCCCTTGCGTTTTCAGCACACCCAGTTTTCCTCCTGGCACCGAGGCTAGGAGTCATTTGCTGTAACGAGGTGTTAGCCAGCTCGGGGACCTGCCTTCCGAAGCACTCACTTCACAGGGTTAATCAGAGGTTCGGTAGTAACCACACATCTGGGGCCTAACACTCCTCCCACACTGGTCATGCCTCCAATTCTAAGAAGAAGAATTTCACAAAGCATGCATCATCTGCACAACCTGCAGGGTGGTAAGTAGCAGTCTTCTGGCTTTCATTTGCATGTGAACTGCGTAGGAGAAGGTTGAATGGTTTACTGAATGCCCCCTCCCAACTCTGAAGATGTAGGGTTCATATGAGGCAATGCAGAGCAAGGAAAGCAGAGCCCCAAAGCGTATTTTCTGATTTCTAGTGCAGAATTCTATACCACATGGCTCCTTGAACTTTTATATTCTAAATGGAGAGCCCTGCTGCAAAAATTCAGCATTTTAGCATTTCAACTTGAAAGTGCTAATTTTTTTTTTAACGTGCCAAATATAGCCACCTGGATATTACCCATCAAAATGGAGGGAGAGGGGAAGAAAGCCAGAAATAGAAAAACTATGCTGGAGGCAGCTGGTGGTGCAGTGGATAGAGCACAGGGCTTGAAGTCAGGAAGACCAGGGTTCAAATTGAGCCTGAGACACTTACTAGCCGTTGTGTGACCCTAGGCAAGTCACTTTACCTCTGGTTGCTTCAGTTTCCTCTGTAAAATGTGGCCCACGGGTCAAATGAAATAATCATTGCAAAGTACTTCATACACTACCTGGTACACTGTGGGCATCCTACATCGTTAGCTACTGATCATAGCCGTTATACTAATAACTACAAGTAAAGGACTGGGTCCAAGGCCTGGTTCTGCCACAGGGAAAACCCTAACCCGTCTGAGCCAGTTTCTTTATCTAAAACAAGCCGGGAACATGACCTCTACCCTGCTGGGATTCCAGGCCAGCTCCTCAGCCTCCAGCACCTCTTTCCAGAGGCCCAGAGCAACTAATGAGCTAACCAGTTTTCAGCCAAAAACGTTTTTCTTCTCAACAAGGGCAACAGAGCACTGTGTATCCAGCAGAGTAATTTGTGGAACTGAATTTTCTCTGAAGCTATTTCTTATGGGCTGAGAAGCCCCCAGGGGATATCTGCAGGGGACCCTGGGATGGGGAGGGCCTGGGGCCTGGTTTAGCAGGCTGCTCAAGGAAAACGACCACATGCCATTGGACCTGGAGCGCCTGGAGAGCAGGGCCGTGTTTTCATCTTTCTTCATGTCCCCAGCCCTTAGCACAGTGACTGGGGGACAAAGCATGCAGGAAGAAAGGCTTGTTGGCTGATCAGGGCCAGACAAACCCAAAACCTCCAGGGGGGAAAATACCCAACCTATTTTCTGCATACCCGTACCACACACAAAGCAGCGTTCCTCAAATCTGGGAATGGCAATTTCAAAGGCAATCTCGAAGGTCTGATGACACCGTGTCAATCAATGAGCATCTCAGTTTCCAGTTCTTCACCGCTACAAAAAGAGTCCAGCCCCACATCCAGGGGCTCCATGACCCCATTTCTGTCCCTGGATGAAGGGGCTTTTTATGAGACCCCCTTCAACACCCTTGGCTCTGCATTCACACCCTCTCCGGCTGTGATCCCTAGCTCTTTGAGTGTCCTGGACCCCCGGCAGTCTGGGGAGGCCTAGGGGCTCCTCAGCGTCATGGTTTTAAATGCAATAAAATTAAGGACACAGAATTACCAATTATGGTGAACCAGTTACCCACATATTATAAAGAAGCCATGCCCCAAGCCCTCACTGCCTTCCCGATCACCATCCCCAAGAACTAACCCTTGCGCTTCGCCATCCTGCTTGTGCTCCCCTAGTTCCTCCCACTACTCTGCTTCTCCAGAACTCCTGTTCCGAGCTGGGTCTGACCCAGTTCCCTGGTACTTTGAGTTCAGTACTGGGACAAAATGCTCACAGGTCTGACAGCAATTAACAAAAGATCTGCTAAGTGAAAGACGTTCCAGGAGGACAGCCGCTGCCTGGGCCAAGCGAGGTTCCCTGAATAAATCACGCATTGCAATCTCCCACCTAACAGGAGACCCCACTCCCTTGGGGCTGCTTCGGGCTCAGGCCAGGCATCAATGTCCACAGCCCAAGCCGTCCGTCCCCAGAGCCAACCAGGCCTGGAGGAAAGCTAGCTCTAGGTAGCTTTCAAGGAAAAACTGGCCTCACTTTCCTGGGGGCAGGGGTTAGGATGTTACTCCTATCACCTACCCTGAGGGGTCTGTGGATAGAGTTCTGGGGGTTCTGTGAACTTGGGCAGGAAAAGAAAAATGACACATTCCACTATCTTCTAACTGAAATTTAGGATGTCCATCAATTGATGAAAAATATTACTATTAGGTCTTATCATGCTGCCAAAAGGGTCCAGGATGCAAAAAAAGTGGCTCCCGGGAGTGTCAGACCTTTGTTTCTTTTCCCTTCATCACAACAAATTCCATCTCTGTTTCTTTTCCCTGCACCAGTGTCCTTCCTTCCCAAGCATTTCTAGGCTTTAGAAATGTTGTTACAACCGTTCTAATACTCCCCTACAGATGCTAATAGGTCATGGTCACATCCCGGGCTGCTGAGGCCCAGCCTGTCCCCATCCCTGTCCTAGCCTGGATCTTAGCCACAAGGCCTCGAGGGTAACCTGTACGTCAACAAGGATCCCTCTGATGACATCTCTAACTCAGTTATCCAACTTTTTCGGGACAACCTCCGGGGAGGGACGAAGAAGCCACCAGCTTTCCAAACTCTGCCCGTCACACTTCTGGATACCTCTAACAATCAGGACTCCCCCGAACCCCCACATCTAACTTCTCTGCAGCATCCATCCTCCGCTCCAACATCGGCCCCCTGGGGGTGAGACAGAACAAGGAACAGGCCGAGGGTTCTAAGGAGCCTCAAAGTGCACCCCGGCCAACAACCTCACTTTACAGAGAAATTACATGCCCACAAGAGAAGATTACACGTTCTCAGATCTTCTGTTCAAGCCTAGCTGTAAAACAGGGTTACACAAAGGGTGGTAATTTGGGGCCTTCTCCTCCCCTTTCCAGGGCTTAGCATGGGCAATTAATAAATGTCTGCTGACTGACTCTAACTGAATTTTAGCATTTCCTTCAACTGTTAAAAACACTACTATGAAAACGGGTGCAGAGGTCTCACCAGACTGCCAGAGCCCATCCACAAAAATGGGTACTCCCTGCACTTCTGAGAAACTATTACAAAAGAAAAGCAGACTATTCTTCGTCTGGTTTCCAAAGCAAAGAGAATCTAATTTAGCATCACTGTGTTACAGTCAGGCCTTTAAAAACGAAACATATGGCACCCAGACCCCTTGCTCCTCAAAGGGGACAGCAATTCTCCTTAGCGCATACATCTGGAAAAAGCATACCATGTCTCTTGAAGATCCTCAGTTTTCTCATCTTTAAAATGAGGGCCTGGAACAGGTCGTGTAAGGTCATATGACCACAGACTTCACAGAGGACTGTCCTTTCATTGAGGCCTGAGCCAGTCAGTCACAAACCACACTCACCTGGATATTCTGACACTAACACATTAAGATGCCTGGTGAAAAGAATCCTCATCCAGCCAAAGGATCAATCTTTAAATAAAGACAACTCTAAGGGATTAGTGGTCCCAAGTTCTTCAAGTTAAAACACAAACCTTTTCTTTATTCTAGGTAAAGCAGAAAGTAACATGTACCTTTTTCTTCAACTAAGTTAGGTAGGTTTGCTTAACTTTTTTCAGGGACGGGGACGAGTTGCAGGGGTGATGTTATCATGTGTCCAAACGTCAACAAAAAGGTTTAAAACCTGCTTCTCTGGCACGGTTCGGGAATGGATTCCGTCATTTATTAAACACCTACTATGTACAACAGGTTTGCAGAGTGAAATCACTTTCCCTGTGATGAGCACATCTGCTGCTGCCTCTCACGGCCCTTCTCTTGGCAGAGACACTGGAAGGCTGTGCCATTTCCTTCTGCAGCTCATCTGACAGATGAGGACACTGAGGCAAGCAGGGTCACGCAGCTAGGGAGTGTGCGAGGCCGGATCCCACTGAGGAAGACGAGCCTCCCTGCCTCTGCGGGCACTACCCGAGCGCCCAGTGCTTGGCACAGAGAGTGCCCTTCACAACAGGCAGACGTGGGCGGCGCAGACAGGGCCCCAGAGCTGGCCTCGGGTTCTCTGCAGGGCCGAGCGCCCGCAGGGTGCTCTCTCCCCTCCCTCCGGGCAGCCAGGGCGTCGCGGCCGACCTGAGGAACCCGGGGCCAGGCCCGTGCCTGGCCAGGGGACACCGGCTCGGCCCCGCCCCCACCCCAGGGTGCACATGGGGGGAGCTCCTCCAGGGCAGGGCGCTCAGCGTGGAGCCTGACACACAGTAGGTGCTTAATGCATACTCACCGACCTGAGAGAGGAGGACGCCGGGAGGAAGGGCGGTCGCAGGCCTCCACAGGCCCCAACGCTGCAATTAATCACTAAGCACTCTTTTTGCTTTTTAGTCAGGCAATCGGGGTTAGGTGACGAGCCCAGGGTCATACTGCTCACACAGCGAGTATCAACCCGTCAGGAAGCATCTATTAAGCGCCCCCGCCATGCCAGGTCCCGCCGCACCTGGCGGTCCGGGAAGAGGAAGCTGGTGCACGGGAAACGGTCCGACCCCACCCTCCCCCGGCGTGCCCGTACACAGCAGGCGCTCCCTGGATGCCGGGCCCCGCTGCCCCCTCTTTCCCGTACAGAGCAGGCACCCCCCTAGGTGCTTCCTCCCCACCCCCGGTGCACAGCAGGCGCTTGCTAGATGCCGGCCGCCCCTCACCTTCACGAAAGCAATCGGGGTAGTGGTACCTTCGATATCCAACAGGATCACGGTCACCTCCGGGGGCACCGAGAGCACCACCATGACTCCGCCCCGGCCGCTGCGGCTGCGGCTGCTGCGAGGAGCGCGGGAGGAGCCCGGCAGCTCGGCGGGCGACGTTCGGAGAGCTCTTTGCGCAGACGCGCTGGAGCGCGGGGGCGGGGCGGCCGGGGCCACGTGGGGCGGAGGAGGCGTGCCCGCGCGGCGGCGGGGGGAAGCACCGATTGGCCGGCGAGGACCGACCCGGAGCGGTCCTGGGGGGAGGGAACAAAGAGCACGCCGGCGCTGAGCGCGGCGGGCTCGGCCGGAGACTGCGGGAGCGTTCTGGGAGCACGTGCCGAGAGAGGCTTCCCCCCCCTCCCCTCGCTCTGACGCTTCCTCGACCTTCCCCCTTCTCATGTTGGCAGACCGTCCCTCTCCCCCCGCCCCGCCCCCTTTCACTGCCGAAAGCTTCCGCTAGGCCTCCCGCAGCTCGAGCTAGGCACTTTTTCGGGTGGGGGGGCTTGCTGCGTTGGCGTGCCGGGGGTGGGGGGAGGGAGCGGAAGCGCCTCCCGGGCCGGCCACCGCCGAAAGGCGCTCCGAGGTGCGTACGCTTCCTGTGCCGCTGCTTCCAACCCGCCCGCGGGAGGACCCAGCACGCGTGCGCGCTGGCCGGCTAGCGCCGGCCGCAGCGAGCGGGCCCCTGGCGCAGTCCCTCCGGCCTGGGCAGCGGCCCTAGCTGAGCCCCGGGCGGCGGGAGCGGCCGCGCGCCGGGGACCGGGGGAGGCGGAGGAGGAGGAGGAGAGGCGGGGCCGGACCGGACCGGACGCCGCCGCGCAGACCCAGGTACCCGCGGCGGGGATCGGGGGCGCCCGGCGCTGCGGCTCGGCTCGACCCGCCCGGCGGCGTGTTTTTGTTTTGATCGCGCCCCCGCCGCCGCCCCGTGCAGCGGCCGCGGCCCGGAGGGCCGGCCGTTATGGAGGTCCCGCCCCGGCTGTCGCAGGTGCCGCCGCCATTGTTCCCCTCGCCTCCCTCCCCGCTGGCCCCCCGCAGCCTCTCCCATTGGCGGTCCCGGGCGCCCCGGCTGCTCGCCCCGCTGCTGCCGTCGCTGAGTTCCGGCTCCTCCCGGCAGGGGGCGCGCCGAGCGCCGCGCCACGTCACCGCCCCCCAGCCCTCGCGATTGGCGGGCGGGGCGTCTATAAAGGGAGGGCGCAGGCGGCGCCCGGATCTCTTCCGCCGCCATTTTAAATCGGGCTCCATCCAACGCGCCGCCGCTGCGACTGCCTCTCCGCGCCGCCTGTCTCCGGCCGACAGCCCCGCCGCCATGGAGGACGTGAACGAGTACAGCAACATGGAGGAGTTCGCCGAGGGCTCCAAGATCAACGCGAGCAAGAACCAGCAGGACGACGGGTACAGCACGCTTCTTTTCTCCCCGGTGCCCCCCTCCCTTGCTCCCGTCCCCGCCCGCCGGGCCTCCGTGGCCCGGGCCTTGCTCGCGCCGCCGTGGCCCGCGCGCCCCTCCGCGCGCCGGCTCCTCCGGTGCCTTCTCGGGGGCGGGGGCCGGGGAAGCCTCGTCCCTCTCCCCTCCCCCTTCCCGCGCGGTGGGGGAGGGGCGCGGGAGCCTGAGGGCCCTGGTGCGCAGGCGCCGCCGGAGCCGGCAGGGGGAGGGGCCCCCGCCGCACCGCATGCTGCAGCCGCGCCGCGGCTTCTTTGTGCGTGCCCGCGGGCCTTCGGGGGTGGGGGGGGCCGCCGCGTCTCCCCGGGCCCCCCGGCGGGGCCTCCCGCGGAGCCTCCCGCGCGGGAGCGCCTTAGAGAGGGCGCGGCGGGCCGCGTGGTAAAAAGCGCAAATAACTTTGTTTGCAGTAAGATGTTTATTGGAGGGCTAAGCTGGGATACGAGCAAGAAAGATCTCACTGAGTACCTGTCTCGTTTTGGAGAGGTTGTAGACTGCACAATTAAGACGGATCCCGTCACGGGCAGATCGCGGGGATTCGGGTTTGTGCTCTTCAAAGACGCTGCCAGCGTGGACAAGGTTCGTGGGCGCCGCGCCGTGGGGGGGCGGGCGGGGCGGCGCCGGGGCCGAGCTTCAGCCTGTCCCCTCTCGTAGGTCCTGGAGCTCAAAGAACACAAGCTGGATGGCAAGTTGATAGACCCCAAGAGGGCCAAGGCTCTAAAGGGGAAGGAGCCCCCCAAAAAAGTGTTCGTCGGCGGACTGAGCCCGGACACGTCCGAGGAGCAGATCAAGGAGTATTTCGGGGCGTTTGGAGAGGTACGGCCTCCCGGGAGGCTGAGACGGTCCGGGATCGTTGGGAGCAGCGGGAGTGAGCCTTGTAGCTGGACTCCAGTATTGCGAGAGTGTAGGTCGTGTAGCCGAAACAAAAGCGCGCTCATACGGCTTCGGAGTCGCTGCTGGGAGGATCGAGCTTCCTGAAGACTCGACTCCGTTTTATATTTAGTTCTTGGGGTTTGTAGTAGTTTTAGGGGTTGGTCTTACTACTTACTTTGCTTTCAGATTGAGAATATCGAACTTCCTATGGACACAAAAACAAATGAAAGAAGAGGATTTTGTTTTATCACATATACAGATGAAGAACCAGTAAAGAAATTATTAGAAAACAGATATCATCAGATTGGTTCTGGGAAGGTAGGACTTGTTTTCGTTGAATTTTGTGGTTTAGAGTTTTTTGATGGATTTTTATTTTTCATCTGATAGTTGGGTAGTAATAGTGTATCATTTGGGACCTCCATTAGTTCAATTTTTTCTTATTTTTGCTTTATTCTGCAGTGTGAAATCAAAGTTGCCCAGCCCAAAGAGGTATACAGGCAGCAACAGCAACAACAGAAAGGAGGGAGGGGCGCTGCGGCTGGCGGTCGAGGTGGGACTAGGGGTCGTGGCCGAGGTAAGACCTGGCCCTTGATGTAAAGCCTTTGTGAATTGCCAAATCTGAGCAAGCCCAAAAGACTAGAAAATGCTCATTTCCAGGGGTGATTTTAAATTTTTTTTTACATATTTTTACTTTCTGAAAAACCAATTTTTTAAAGGAATAATTGCACTGAAATTTAGTGTCATCACTAGTAGGATAAAGATAAAGGTTGTTAGGTACACCATGGCGTTTGAAATTTCTTTGGGAGGGGGGAGTCCTGTAGTCTTAAGTGGAACAGCCCACCATCTGTATTAATTTTGTCCTGGTTTTCCATTAAATTTAGGAAGCATGATATTGGCACAATTGGACTTTCTGCCCCCTTTTATGTCAAATGAAAAGGATTACTTTTAAGCAGATAGCACCAAAGGTGCCCGTTCTGCCACTTCCGATTTGTAGAATGAGGGACAATTGATCTTTACTAGAAATCCAGTCCGCTCAATTTTATGTTAGGCCTGGGGGTCAGAAGTTATTTCCTAACAATCATTGTGCATTGTTTCAGGTCAGGGCCAAAACTGGAACCAAGGATTTAATAACTATTATGATCAAGGATATGGAAATTACAATAGTGCCTATGGTGGTGACCAAAACTATAGTGGCTATGGCGGATATGATTATACTGGGTATAACTATGGGAACTATGGATATGGACAGGGATATGCAGACTACAGTGGTAAGAATATTTAACTTAATTTCATTGGCATTAAAATTCAGTGTTTAAAATACAATCCCCCTCTGAAATTGTTTGGTGCTAGGTTTGTCATTTTATCAAAGTGTTTGGCTCTACTAAAAACAGCTTTTAAGACAGTCTGTAGAATGCATACATTGACAGTGAATAGCTCTAAATGTGATAAAATGTGCATTTTGAAGACCAGTTTGCAGCAGCTATGAAACTTACTCTTTCTTCTCCCCCCCCCTTTTTTCTTTTTTGGTTCATTACTTAATGTTGAGTGTGTCAGATTGTGGGACACTTAATGATTTTTCCAGCAGTAGTATTGTTAGTAGAATCTTGCTTAACCCATTACATACACGTCTAATTCTTTTGATCTTTTTCAAAACAGGTCAACAAAGCACGTATGGCAAAGCATCCCGAGGGGGTGGTAACCACCAAAACAATTACCAGCCATATTAAAGGAGGACCCTGAGAAAACAGGTGTGTGTGAGAATGCGAGAAATAGTCAAGATGATTACTGTTATTTAAAGATCAATAGACAAATAAAAATAGGTGAAAGTATGTCTTATGTAGCCTTTTTACTAAATTTTGTGTAACTTAAATCCTCTTTTTAAAAACTTGTATTTTTTTAAAGTGTCTATAGATCTTTAACTTTAAAATCTGATCTCGCCTTCCTTAGTACTCAGAAAAACTTAAGAGTTTTTCTGTTCGCTTTGTGTGCCAGGTGGTCTAAAGGAATAATTAAACTTTTTAGAGCTATTAACAGGTAAAGTACTGAAATGGGTACAACTTAAGGAAAGCAGGAATGTTGTCTTCTAACTCTGACATTATACCTTGTTTGTACCCGCCAGCGGGAACTTCATTGCAGGCCGTGTGTCACCCTGACCACGTCTCTCTCTGGGGGTCGCACGTTGCGGGCAGAGCGCAAGGCACACACCAGAAAACGCTGTCCTGTGGTATGGTCTCTTCCAACTTCATGTACCAGCGTAAAGATTAAAGTGGAAAACTTCAGACTTTGGCTTCTTTTTTTAATCTTTTTGAAGATTAAGTCTCTTAACTTAAATGGTTTTTTACAGGAGTTAAAGTACATAAATGCCTTTTTACAGCTTAATCATTTTTGGTCTTCTGTTTAGTGTTGTATTTCAATTGTGGAGCCTCATTTTAAGTGTGTATTCTTTAAGATTTAATGCTTGCTTTTTCTTTTTATAGCTAATAGTGAAATCTGCAAACCAAAACAACTTTTAAATCTGGGGAAAAAAATTAAAGATCATATGCACAAACAAATTTTGATACTTTATGATAAGCCTACTGAAAATCCAGGTGTTTGACCAGGATTGTTGAAATTTTCACTTTAAACTAGAGATGCTTCTAAATAAAGCTTGCCTAGTTGATAACTACTTGTGAATCTCTGAAGTACCTATTCCTGGGGTCAGAAGAGAATTACATGCCATTACTTTGAAGGCCCCAGGTCAACATTTCAAACTGGCAACAGCATTTTTCCAGCACACATGCATATGATCTTTAACTATGGAAGAAAAGAATAAATTGAGGACTTAAGCAATTCATGAAAATGGACCTTTGGAAACTTGTGATGATTGCACAGATCTGATGGGCCCTCTGCTTTATTTTAGGTGCAGATTGCTACCACAGCCTATCCCGCAGGATGACGACGTTGAATGGAGAGTGGTCTTCTGTTGATCTGAGATGACTATTTTGTAAAAGACTTTTAGTGTACATGACACAACTGTGTCCAATTGTATATAGCAGCCGATTTAGTTTTCTTGTTTTTGCTTTGTCCTTTGCCATCTGTGTTATGACAAATGTGGATTTGTGTTTATACAAATTTTATTTGTATAATTTCATGTTAAATGATTCTCAAAAATAAATTACTTGTGATTGTTTTTCTGTGTCAGGTACTAAATAGCTCTGTAAAATATGTAATTTTAAATAAGCAATAATTGAGGCACAGTTTTATTTTCGAGGAGTCATGGACAGTGGGGAGAAGCAGTGGTCTTTTATAAATGATGAGCAGCAAGCTTTGCCTTAGTGTCCTAATTCCCTTGACAAAGGTCTATGCTAAGGGTTCATGTCCGTGTTTAAAATAACCATAGATGCTACCATGCAGTTGAACAGTGTTTGTCCCTCACGTTAATTCTTGGGATCTTTGTGATGAGAAGTGTTAATTCAGCATGTTGTGAATAGCTGAAGTTGTTTCTGTCAGGCCATAGATCCCTCGACTTTTATTTTCAAAGTAGAGCACTTTTTTTATAAAACACCATAAAATAAGGCATAGTTAGTAACTGCTTTTATGAGTTGACAAGATGCTTTGAGCCTTATTTGTAAAAAAAAAAACCAACAAAAAACCCACTCATCTGTTATGATTACTTGACACTTGCATTGAATGTGAGTAATTCAATTTGCAAATTTCTACATCCATTGAAACTGGATCAAAGATTGATATGGGCAAGCTTTTCACTGTAGAATTGTAAGTAAATGAATTGTACTCTGAAATAGTAGTTATGTCACTGCCACTGCCAAACCGTAAATAGCTGTTTCCAATTGGAACACATACTTGGAAAGCTTTAGTAGAGGTACAGCTTTTGTCTTGAAGTTTTTAGGAAAAGTCATGGTAGTAAATCCCATTAACTCATGTATTGTTTTGTATTTGAAATAAAGGTTATTTTTCCATTTTTAAATGGCAATAGTGCATGCGCTCTGAGAGTGAAGCATTTTCCATATTCAGACAAAGGGGGAGGGATTTGTGGTAACTAAAAACTTAAGGCTCATTTATATGACGTGTTCTGTGGAATGATAGCAGGGCTTCCTAATAGTATACTTCAATAGACTCAGGCCTCCATTAACTCTTAGAGAGACCCAAACCTCAGCTTGACGTTCAAATTGACTGTTATGGGTCAGTATTAAAAAACTGGTTTGTATGCCCACAGATCCCCCTGTAGATTATGGTCTGCTAGACCTGAAATATCAAGTGTGTTTGGGCCTATTTGAAGGGAGTATGTCGTTTGAAAGGGCTGATTTCTCTTGTACCATCCCTGAAGTTTATCTGTAGTTTTATGCAATCAAGTTAAACCTTAGTCTGAGGCCTGTTGGTTTTGTCCACACTGCCTTTCTTTTTCTTCTGTCCTCTGGAGTAAGTCTTCCTTCTCATTCACCTGAGGGCTGTCGAGTTTAGTTTGCATTCTCCTAGCTTTGGTCTGTCCACATGTTGCTGCTGCTAAATTGGCCCTATAAGCAGAGTGATGAAATTGGGTTTCACCAGGAATTGTTTCCCTGTTTCTTTGCTTGGAAACAGGAAACTAGAGGGAGATGATTTGGATTTGTGTTGTCAGAGGCGATAGGTGCAGTGTATTTAGGGGAGTGATTTCCTGTAAGTAGTTTACAATTTTATGATTAGGTGACAAGTTAACATTGAAATTGTCCTTTCCCTAACTACAAATGAATAAAGGTTTTTCATCCGTACTCTTCATTCAAGTCTTGCTATATTTAATTTTGAGGAAGTACTTTGGAAAAATAATGCTAACTAAATGCCTCCCCCCCAAAAGAGCCACAGACCCTTGTTTTCCTAAGAAATTAAAGCTATTTGAATTCTAAATTAAGTTTTTGGTAAAGGCAACCATGGATTATGTAAGGGTATTTTTTCTGTTTTGAGTCATGGGTAGCATGCAGGAAGGTGGGATCGGGAGTTAATTTCATGCCTTTGGCCCATAGATTAAACGATACTGTTGGCAAATAAGGTTACCCGATACATGGAAGAGTCATAACTAGCAATGACTGAACACTTACTGCCCAAATGTTCTAACCAAACAGTACTTTATTTAAAGTGGGCTAAATTTCATGTATTTGTGGGGAGCAGGACCATTGGGAAGAAGGGGTTTCTTAATTGCTTTCCAAAGAGGAATACCTGTTAATGTCCAGAGAACAGTTGGAACGTTATCAGCAAGTTGGGCTTTCCCTATCCCTAACAAGACTGGAAATTGGGTATCTTTCTCTGAAACTTCTAACTCTGGTGTATCCTGAAGTCATTAAAACCTGCCGTTTAGTGGTAAATGAGGCTCTTGTTCTTGGCCTGAAGTTAGACACTTGAGTCAGGGACACATAACGGAGCTGTGCGTCATTTCAGTTGTAAATGACAACATTGTGCCGGGGCACAGTCCTAACCATTGCTACCTGTGGGACCTGATAGAAACCACCTCACTAGGCCTGTTTGCTCGTCAGTCAAATGAGAGAATGATGTCCATCTAGCTCTGAATCTGTGATTTAACACCCACTTGCATGTTTCGTGGGAATTCTGAAGAGCGGAGTTGTTTGGGTTACAAGAATCCCAGTCAACTTTGGAGTCTCTTGCATTGTTTCAGTCTTGTGTCATGCTCTAGGTAATCCCAATCATATACTCATATTGCATGAACCCCAGTGCTACCTACCTTCTCTAGCAACAGACTAAGCGGGAACCATAAATCAAGAAGCAAGATGTTGCAGTAGAACAGAAGAGCAAAGTCAATAAATAGAGGGGAAGGGGATAAGCATTTACATGGCACCTACTATGTTATAACTATTATCTCATTTGATCCTGACCACAACTGTGTGAGGTGGGTGCCACTTTATCCTCATTCAACAGGCAAGGAAACTGCAGCAGATACGTGAAGGACTTGGTCAGGGTCACACAACCCCTCTAAGTGTCTGAGGCTGGATTTGATTTCAGGTCTTTCTGCCATCAGGTCCAGTGGTCATTCCCCACTCAGGAAGAAGTACAGTATTCATAGACACACACAGACACACACACACACACACAAACTCTCTCTCTCTCTCTCTCTCCTCTCTCTCTCTCTCTCTCTCTCTCTCTCTCTCTCTCTCTCGGGAGGTGCAACCCTCCGTGCAGCCCATGCTCCTACTAAGGAAGGAGTGTGGTCATGGGCCACCTCTCTCCCAGGCTCATCTCCTATCCCCTGATGCACCACCCCCTGCTACCCTATCCCAAATCCACGAATGCTTCTCTCTGCTTCCAAAATTGCTCCTTGCCTTCCATCTGAGCTGCTGGCCATCTGTCGCTTCAGCGTCTCCCTTCTTCACTTCATTTTTCTTTTGTCCATCATCCCATGCCTCGAAATGCCTTTTGTTAGTTCAGACCTCCCGGACTTTGACTGTCTCGGTTTAGGCCCTCAGGTCAAGGAGATCAAGACCTTTGTAATCCGCTTGAATCCTGTGTCCACAATGAAAAATCCCCCTGCCCTCAGTATGGCAGCTGAGTTAAGGTACCCAAAAGACAAACTCCTGGCTTCAGAGCCTGCCTGGACCCGAGCTACTGGGTTTGCCTTGAAGAAATCAACTCACTTGCCTGGGGCTCAGGTCTCCTCCACACAGTGAAGGCTCTGGGGTATGGGGGTAAAGCTGTAGGGGAAAAGTTGAGGGGACATCTTTGCTATGGATGCCAAGGTCCCCGAACTCCCTTAATTGAGTTTAGTATTGAGCTCTTTGGAGATTCCATCCGATGAATGCACTTGCTCGTCTTCAATTGAACCAAATGGAATATGAATAAATCACAAAAAGGGCTGTCAGTAGGGAAGTGGATAGAGCTCCTGGCCTGGAATCAGGAAGTCTCATCTTCCTGAGTTCAAATCCAGCCTGACACTAGCTGTGTAACCCTGGGCAAGTCGCTTAACCCTGTTTGCCTCAGTTCCTCCTCTGTAAAACGAGCTTGAGGAGGAAATAGCAAACCACTCGAGACACTGTGCTAGAAACTGAGGGTACAGAGACAAAAAAAAGAAAACAGTTCCTGTCCGGAAGGTCCTATTCATGTATACAAATAAATTTTTAAAAAAGCAATTTGTCAAGGGAGGTGCTAACAATTGGGGGACCAGGAAATTATGGGCAGGTAGGCGGCTCAGTGGTTAGAGCACTGGGCCTGAAGGAAGGAAGATTTGAGCTCAAATCAGGTACTATCTGTGTCACCCTGGATAAGTCACTTCACCTTTGTTTGCCTTAATCCATTGGAGAAGAAATGGCCAACCACTCCTGTTTATTTGCCAAGAAAATGCCATGGACAAGACAGTCTATAGGGGTCACAAAGAGTTGAATACGACTAAATAATAACATATAGGTATATATTGTCTCTCCTGGCTGGATTGTAAGCTCATAGAAGGAAGGGACTGTTTCACTTATGTCCCTGTTATCCCCAGCTGCTTGCCCAATACCTGGCCCAGAGTGGTTACTGAATAAATGCTTGTGGATTAAAATTCATTTCTCCATATACTTAATACCTACTTCACAGGGTTATTGTGAGAAAAGCCAAGGTATGCCTTGAAAAAAAAACCAACAAACTTAAACTATGAGTGGTTGTTATTATTATATTTGGCATTAGATTATTACCTGACCTTTGCTCTTGAAGAGGACCAATGACATCATGAGGGTGGATGCTTTGACTTGCAAGAGAACTGGATTTAAGCAAGGCAGGGCTGTGCAAAGTCATCAGCCTCACTCTCTCTTCGGGAGCCATCAGAGTCCAGGGGCTGGACAAGAGTCAAGGCAATTGTCGATGACCCCATTTGGCATCTAGACATGGTAGAAAGAGGCTTGGCCTGGGAGTCAGGAGAGAAGGATTTCAATCCCATTTCAGATACCTACCAGCTCTGTGGCCACTGGTCATTTAAGCTCTGTGAGACGGGAATATGAGCACACATGCATATAGGTTTGCAAACCACTTTCCTTAAGACTGGCAATTTGGCAGGCTGGATTTCATGGCTTCTTCCCCTGCATGTTAACTGTCATATGTGGACAAATCCACAAGGAGCTTTGGTTAAGCCTATATTTGATCTCTTTAAAAATCTATCAAGAGAGTGACCACTTGTCTGGTCCACATCAGCTTCATGTCAGCTTTTTTGGAAAAAAGCATTTGCTGAGAGTTCTAAGGCAGCAGTTGGTGATTTGCAGACAACAGTTTAGAGAAGATGTATTTTGTTCTCAACTGCTACTTCTTTCTGAGAAAAAGAAGGAGAAGGAGCAGGAGCAGGAGGAAAAACAGAAGATCTTTCTCTGCATTGCATTTATTGCTAAGAGATAGAGAAGAAGAACAATCCTGCTAAAAAGTATCTGTCGCTTCTAGATTCAGGCTGAGCTAACACCCTTTACTAAAGTAATCTTTTCTTGAAAGAGTACAATTCTACTTTGGTAAAGGGAGTCAGCTAAGCTTGAATCTAGAAGAGACAGGTACTACAGCTGCTATCTAGGAAGCAAGTTCAGCTGAGCCTAGCGTCTGAATAGTTTAAATCATCACAGAAGCAGCCCTGGGAGCTGATCCATTCAGCTGAGATGCCATGCCTGGTGAGTTGTTAGTTCAAGAGAGTGTAGATCAGTTTAGTTTATCAGTGGAATTACTTGTTCACTTGAAGCTGTCAAAGAACTTTTTATGGATAATTCCTGAGAAAAAAGAGGATCTTAAAGTCTATAGTTCCTTAATTGTGAGTTACTTGCTCTGACCACATAGTAAGTGGCCACCTAGTAAGAATAGTAAGTATTCCATACTATGTTGGTACTGAAAATGTATGCCTACTCTCTACACAAACATGTGTACTAGTGGGAGAGTATGATACAGTTATTGGGCAGATATATGTTATGTAAATGTTATATATTTGCTTTGCATTTTCAGTAACTGGTTAATGTTTAATCAAGTATTAGTTGCTGTTCA